AAATTTTAGTTGATTTAATTGCATCTCTCTGTATTTAACTTGTATTATTTCAAAGTGTCCAAATCTGGAAAGACATTTTGTCAATCTTTTAATGTCCAAATCAAATTAAATTTGTAATTTAAGAATTAAAGTAAATGTTGGAGTTAGGGTCTCCTATTTACTGCTAAGGCTAATCTCAAAGACTAAGAATCATTCTTTAGTCATTGGCTAATCTGGACGGTGCCTACTTTGTTTACGTGGATTCCGAACCGCGCTCCTCGGTCATATCATGGTCAAGTGCCTAGCGACTGGCGAATGTCTAGATCGACTCTTACTGATCTAATCTACAACAGTGTGTAATAGATTTTACACTCTTTAACACGACAGAGTTTCCAGACGGTTACCCGTCCATCATCTCGCATCGTCTAACGTCGCTTAACTTCGATGATCAATCGGAAACCGATGTTTCAACATAGCTGGCCCGTTGCTTAATTTGAAAATTAACATTAAGATAATTTTGTGAACTCAACTACTCGCGATATTAGTCTCTAACTATCTTAATTCTTCCTTAATTGCAGGAAACTTTCTCAATTAGTTTGATTTCTTCGTAATAATTACGGGCTTAATTGTCTGAATAAAGAGGATAAAGTGTTTTTATCTCTAGAAACAATAAAGGCTGAAACTTTTTGGTCCTAAAGCATTATTAAAATTAATCAAGAATAATCAGGAGGATTTTCAACAGACTGTTGAAAAAGATGGTCTATTAGAAAAACGATTAATTGAAATGGATTAGTAATAATTACGGAAAATAGATCACAGAAAAATTGTTCAATACATAAAGAAGGTTGTAGATTGTACAATCTGTCGTCCATCGCCAATATCAGTCGTACCAAATACATAAAGTAAACAGTAATATAAAATGTATCCAACAAGACGATCCCTCCCTGACAGTGACAGTTGTGTCTGTCATTTTAATTCACATGCAAATTTCTTTTTCTGTTATTTTTGGATGTCGTCTAAAGGTCTACCCTGACTCGTTGGATAGAATCACTGTATGTTTCAGTCAAATGGAATAAATTCGTTAATATACAGGGTGGTTCGAATAGTAATTGGGAAACTTCATGTTTCCTTTTGGAGATACAGTGTGTAGAAATTTTATTTTTATTTCTTTTTTTTCCGAATAATTTCTGAACTAACGTCGATTTGGATAAAAATTGGTGAATGGGTGTTTTTTGACATGAGAAATTCGATTTCGATGACTCCCACTTGTAGGGGACGCCACCTACGTGTTTTTAACTGCTTTGAATAATAATAACTTGTTGTCTATAAGTCTATTACACTACTGAGAGCAAAAATATATATTTCCGCCGTTTTCTATATGGGAAAAGTGTAAATCTATTGACACAAACTAATTCATCCCGGTTTGAGGCCGGATAAGATCGGATATCTCGTGAGTAAGAGTCGATTTAAGCACTAGCCAAGTCGGTAAGCCCTTAACAATAATATGGACGACGACCAAAGTTCGGATTCCGTGTAAATAAAGTAGGCCCCGTTCAAATGTTAGCAATACATCGGTTATTCGAATATTAAATAAAGGTGATGACTCTTCCATGAGCTAAAAGAATCATGAAATTATATTTGAGAAGAAAGTATTATCCTTTATTACATGACACATTAAAAAAGTTCATGACGTAAATAAAATGAGAAAATTTAGAAAAAATATTTCTATCAATCTACGATCTGAGTAAAGCACTTTGAAAAGCTATTGTGAATAAGCCGAAATAAATTACAATTTAATAGACCCAAAATTGTTTTTGCAATAAAAAAAATGTCAGTAAATTAGTACTGGGGATTCAGGGTCTTAAATAAAATCTCCAAAAATTGGTTAAAATTGATCTTGGCTTTGGGAAACGGACAGAAAAGATATAAATTATGTTCTACATTTTTTTGGCCCAAAAAAGTTATGTCTCAAAGCCAAAGTTTCGCTTAATGGAATAAGAAAATAAGAGCTTAGTATGGTTTTCTTGACATTTCGAGTTCTTTCTCGATTTCTTTTGGTATAAAAAAACGGTTGAAATATTATAATTGACTTATCTGGAACTGTAACCATTAAAACAGACACATTTTGTATATAAAGCTAGAAAAATAAATCCGCATAAAAGAATTTCTTATTGACGATATCACTTTTTATAACAATTACATAGTACAGAAGAAAGCTACGTTGTCACTTATTTATGATAAATTTTATTAACGATTATCGTTGTATGATTATTTTAAAATAATTTATAGTGTTCCTTTGGTTAAATTATAAAGATGTTTTCGTCAAATATGTTTTATTTAGTATTTATATATTTTTTAAGGGTTTTTAATATACAACTCATATTAACCGATCTCAGAGTTGAAAAATTATATATGTCAATTTTTCGCTTTTAAATTTCAGTTTGACAAACCAAACACCATAGTTGTTTATTTATAAGTCCTTGAAGTGTTGGATTTTTGTCCATTTTTAAGTATCATACTATGGGTTTTGCTTTGTAAAAAATATGTGCTTGGAAGTTTTGACACTATCTTTTTATGAAAGTAAAACAAAGAAACAAGAAAAGATGACCCGACTAAATACTCGTACAGTTAATCTTAATAATTAGAATAAAATAATTAATTCAGCTTACCTTTATTTTTTGAAGTCTTGTACAAAAAAATTATACCACCAATGAAACCAATTATACCGAATCCGTCACACTTTTTTAAATCACCCTGTATAGTCAAAATTAATTTTAATATATGTGCCTATCCTAACATCCTTTTTATTGTTGACTCACACTGTACAGGGTGGGTCAAATTCGACGCTTTTAAATGGAAACACCCTTTTCTGTAGGAGATAGACGAAAACTAATATCGGTGTCTGGAGCTCAATTTTCATCAAAAATATGAGGGTGAAAACCGCACATCAATATCTGTTACCGTTTCGGAGTTACGGGGTGTTTTTCAAAAATGTGCATTTTTAACAAATCGCTGTAACTTTTTTGCTATGGAAAATTTTGTATTTCTATGAAAACATTTCCAAAGCACCTTTTTACGTAGAATTTAATGGTTTAAGTATAATTTTTAAAATTAATAATTTAAGAGTTTCAACAGAAAAATTGATTTTTTATTTGGGACATCCTCCATATTTTTAATCAACTGAAAAGAATTTAAAATTACCTTTCCAAAAATATAGCACACTTGATATTTTGTTATAAACCCCTTGGAAATACAGAATTTTTAAAAGTTCGCCACTTTTAACTAGTAGTCTTTGGACCCTTTATTGATGATATGCCCTTAATGGAACTCGAAAACATATTTTTCCAGCAAAACGACGCACTGCCTCTGAACGCTGAAGTTATTAGCAAATTTTTGCAGCCAATTTCAAGATTAATTGGATAGCTAACCAAGATCCCAGCCGTTGACAGTCGAGGCCGCCTGACTTAGTGTCCATGGATCTATTCCTATGGGTATATTTGCTGAAGAATAAAGGTTCCTTATTCTTCCGTATAATCTAGACAAGAATGAAAAATACTTAGCAGTTATGAGAGGGTATCTTTCACCCCCACTGAGTTAATGAATTCCGCGAGAAATGTTCAAAAACTGCCCCGTCTGTCCATAACAGAAGCACAAACAGAAGACGGTCAATATGTCGAACACCTGTAGCAAAATATCATATCTTGGTTTGCTATTTATTTGTAGTGTTATTAGATATAGTTTAAATGTGTTGATGTTGGTTAAATATATTTTAAATTGTTATAAAATTCTGCATCTCTCATAGCAAATATTATTTTCGTTTTAATTGATGCTCACAGCTAGAATTTTTTTGCATTTCAGCCGGTGCCGTTCAAAGCCTACTTATTTAAAGCGGGCGAATTTTTATATACTCTATATCTCGAAGAGGAATCGAGCAAAATATTAAGTGTGTTATATTTTTGGTAAGGTAATTTTAAATTCTTTTTAATAAATTAAAAATATACCGGGTGTCCCATATAAAAAATCAAATTTTCTGTTGATAATTCTTAAATCATTAATTTAAAAAAAATATACTTAAACCATTAAATTCCACGTAAAAAGGTGCTTTGGAAATGTTTTCATAAAAATACAACATTTTCCATAGCAAAAAAGTTACAGCGATTTGTTAAAAATGCATATTTTTGAAAAACACCCCGTAACTCCGAAACCGTAGCAGATATCGATATGCGGTTTTCACCATCATGTTTTTGACAAAAATTGAGCTCCAGACACCGATATTAGTTTTTGTCTATCACCTATAGAAAAGGGTGTTTCCATTTAAAAGCGTCGAATTTGACACACCCTGTATAAGTGTAATATTGCCAAGAATTTTTTTTCCTAGAGAACAATATTTAACTTCTTATAAAATACCGTATGATCGAAAAAAACGGCGTCAGAGACGGCTAGGGAATGACAATCAATGAATCGATGATAATTTTGGCGAGGTCAATATATAGATGTCATTTACCAAAAATTGATAAAACTTGTAAAAAATTAGCGCTAATTGTAGAAAGAAGATTCTATCCCTTGAACGTTTCCCGACACACAAATCTATTTAAAAAAATATATTTCTCAAATTCTAAAACATTTAAAAATCATTTTTACTCAATATAAAAATAAATTACAACCTTCTACAGCCAACTGGCAGTATGTGCCATTAAAAAATAAAGAAGAGCACGGACCAAGTAATGACGTCTAGGGGTTGAAAAATTATTTTCGATTGCCATTCCACAGCCGTCTTTGACACCGTTTTTTTTTTTCGATCGCATGGTAGTATCCAAAAATTTCAGCTTTTCTTAAAAAAATCTTAAAAATTAAAACTTAAAATTTAACTAAATATATGTAAAAAAATATAGTAGGCACAATTTAATAAAATAAGAAAAATATAAATACATATTTTTTTTTAAATATTGTATTTTTAGGAAATATACGAAGTCTAAACTATATAACTATCTACTAAACACATTAATAAACTTTTATTTTACCTTATTTTTTATGTTGGACAATTCTTCGGGGTCTCGTATACGTAAAAGTTATGCCTCCCCTGGAACCACAGAACACACGTTTGCCGCAGCCAACAGAACGCGCGTTTGTGCTTTTGGATATTTTCATAAAAGTTGGCCGTTGTCGGTCTATTCCAGGCGCATGCGACCCAAACCAGTTCCATTTGGATAGAAACTTTTTCCAGAGCACAGCGATTCAAACTGATGGAGAACAAAGTTAAGGATTAAAGGACAAAGACTTGTACGGCTCTAATGGAAATGTGGACGAGTCTGTGAATTGTTGACTGCTGATTAAAAATCTGGAAATGTTTAGCATGCTCCAAATACGGAACGATCATCAATAATTGAAATAGTTGGAAATGCAATGTTAGAGGATTAGTGAGTTAGAGCTTTCGTATCCACGACCACCATTAAAAAAAGTCAGTTGACTGCCTGGTTTTGCATTGTTACCTGGCCAGTTTTAACCTACAAATAAATGCAGTTTTTCTTAAATTAGTTAAAATCGGCTTGTACAAAATTGTTCAAATTTGGAATGAGTATTCAGCATACGCAGACTTTTAATACCCGTATTTACAACTAGTAAAATTAACAGGGGACCCAATATTTGGACAGTCCAAAATTTGTATGGGATTTTCTATGTTTCCAACGACGATGCAATTTCGGGCATTCCTGGTATGATTCTTTCATATATCAAGGTGACATCATTTCCATATATTTTTTATTTCTAATTACCTAATTTAATTTTTATATATTTTTTTTAAATTAGAACCGCTATAGTAATGAGTATGTCAAACAATTTTTTATAATACTTTAACTTTAATTTGATCAGAGATTATACCGGGTGCGTCTCACAAGCGGCTTCCCCCTATAACTTTTTTATTTTTCCAGATAAAAACTCGAGATTTGGTATGTTAGCATATGACATAAATTAGGATTGATTGACGTATTCAATTGTTTTCTGACACTTTCTGTTTCACCGGAAATGACTACAACTTTTGATTTTTAAATAGTACCCTCGGTGTTTTGTTGCTCTGTTCGATAGAAAATGATACTCTGAATAGAATAACATATCATATGTCAACTTTTGACATTTTCAAATATAGTTTATTTGAAATTGCAACATGCCATTCATAACGACAATTTGGCTCGAAATACCAAATGTGTGGTACCAAATTATTCGTAAAAAAAGATTTTCACAAATATGCTAAAGAGCCACCCTCGTTCCAATTAAAAAAATTGAGATATGATTTAAAATACGAATTGGGCATCTTTTAACCGGATAGAACAAGACACGAATAACATTAGACAATCAAGTCTATTTTTCCAAAGATCCTTGATTAAAAATTAGTGTTTTTAACACAGCCATGGCACTCTAGATTCAAATTTAAGATTCAATTTTGTTTTAAGCAAAAATGTCAAAAGTTGACATACGATACCTCATTCTATTCAGAATGTCATTTTCTATCAAATAAATTTAAATAAATATCGAGAGTGCCATTTGTACTCAAATTTTTTTAGTCATTTCCGGTGAAACAGGAAGTGGCCAAAAAGAATTGAATATGTCAATCAATCCTAATTTATGTCGTATACTAACATACCAAATCTCGTTTTTTTATCTGATAAAATAAAAAAGGTATAGGGGTGAGCCACTATACGCACCCGGTATCGAGACAATATCTAACTAAACAATTCTATAAGAAGGCTAACTACATTTTAATATTTAGTATTGGGAAAATAAGTTCCCAGCATGTACCAATATGGATTTTGTGATGCCATCTCCATAAATGCGGAAGTTATGCATACTTTGCATCACTTTTTGACTAATTTTTACAACTAAATCTATTTTTCTTAAAAACATTTAAGATATGCAAAAAATTTAACTGAATATATGACGGCTAGGTAAATATGAGTTGGTTATTTTTGCTTCTACCACGAGAATTGGCTGCTATTGATTAAAAATTACAAAATTTTATTTATCTAGATGGGTAGAAATTAGTACGCTTATATAAAATTAAAAAAGAAACATTTTTCCAAACAAGTGTTTCGAAATTATGCTAGGAAGCCCATTTTTTCCGCCATTTGTTACTTTAAATGTCGAATTGACAAATATGACAGATACCCGGAAAAAACAGGCACCATTTTCTTAAGTAATTTCTTTTCTAAATCGCAGCAAAACTCTCTCCGAAATCAAATTTTACCTAACTCAATAAATAAAAAAAGTTCCATATAATGCGGACTTTATCTGTGACACTTTACTACACTGCTGTCATATCTTCCAACTAAGTAACATCATTTTGTATAGATAGAGATAAAATGGCACAATGGCACAGCAACTTCATAGTACGCCCGAGAATCGTAGAATTTTATAGCTACACCTGTATAATGACAAAATAGAATTACAAGACGCTAAAACGCTCCATTTCGATGTTAAACAAAATGAAAATATATGCAAAATACAGTCTACAAACTTACTTTCATAAAAATTATAATTTTTTCAAATAAAACAATGTAATCTGTCTGAATTTAGACATTTAAGGGGTTAGTTACATAAATATTCGATACATTTAATTAAATTCAATTATTGTGGATAATTGCATTCATTTTTAATATGTAATACGGTCCAAGGTCGACAATCTTGACCATGTAAGAGCTAAGGTAATGGATAAACGCTACTAAAACGTGTAATTTCATATAAATTTACCTACAAAGAAAATTTTTGCATCTCGTTAGTATACAATCACTTTTTTCCTAACAGTAAAGATACACAGAAAGAACAAAACCTTTAAAGTCACAAGCAAGTAACCAAAAATTTTATATTCGTAACTTAATTGATATCTGTGTACTTATCTTATTCAAATGTATCCTCGGATTGTTTTAGATTCTTACTACTTTGTAGATGTAGATTGTATTGAAGGGGAGAAGCTGTAATCACCGCTAACTCATCATACAGTCTCAAGGCTTTGACAAAAGCCAGTATCTGGGCCGGTTTTATAGAGGTTAGTTCTCCATCTCCAATATCAGTTGCACCAAAGTTTACGGCACGAATGGTTGTTCTTTTGGCGCACTCACCGATGTGGCGTACTGGTGTTTCCCCATTTTCCCCACAGAATCTCCATTCGCCATTGTTTCTTAACTTCAATCTACTGAGGTTTCATTGAGGAAGCAGTGTCCTCTTAAAAAAACCATGACAATCCGAAGATCGTTCTTACTTAAATCAAGGAAAATATTTGATTGTTCTCAGTCGTAAGTTCTGAGAAATATCTTCGAGTATCTTAGACCGGGGGGGTTGGAGAATTTCCATTCCAGGTTATGGATAGAATCTTCCAGGTTCTTAAGTTCCTCTTTAAGTTGGTTTTGAAGCAGAACGATTCTGCTGTAATTAGTGGAGCGTTCTAGCTAGATTGTTTGCTTTTTGTTTTATTCTTCTATCCCTTGGTGGACTGGCACTTAGAGCAAGTGGACTTTATTTTTTTGCCTAATTTGTTCAGCTTTTCTAGGCGTTCTCTGACCAACCTCTATCCGATGTTACCGAGTTGATCACTTTTAATGCTGTTTGACTATCATTCGGAGTGTTTTGTTTTCGGTCCAAGCACTCCTATCCCTGTTTCTAATTTGGTTTTGGAAGCATCAGTATACAGGGTGGCGCATCTCATTCGCCTCGGTAGATTATACGAAAACGGAAAGATGTAGAAACAATTTTTTATGGGTCTATGTAGAGAGGCAATGTGCATAATTTAAAATTATTTTCAAAAGTACAGGGTGTGTCAGAACTAAGATCCATACCAAAGTTATATTTTTTCTTATGGAACACACACCCGATTTTTATTTCATTTTTGGATTCTTGGACATAAAATAAGGTATTTATTATAAGGGTTTAATATGTTTAAATCCTTTGGTTTTTGAGATATATAAAGATATTTAAATATGCACGCTATAATAAAAAAATATTGTCAATACCCTGTACATCGCTTTTCAGTTATTTCAAATGCAACACTATGTTTATTTTAAAATAAGTCGAAGCAAATTTAAATGCTCTTTCAAACTATATGAGGGTTTTCTATACCTATCTGACTCAGATTTTTCAATAAAATGGCAATCAAGATGGCTAGTGTCGCTATGGCAATTCGCTAGGGACAATAGCTATTTTCAAAATCGACATTAGTTTATGTACTTTATTTAAATTTATAATAGTTTACTTTTATTTAATTTACCTACAATAGTTTAATAAGTATGTATTATTTTATTAAGAAAAATAAAGAAGTAGTTCTTTTTGATTTATATTACGATGATTTGTAGATATATTGGATTTTCTATAAAAGAACCAATTAAGGCAAATTCATTTTCTTCACTTCCAACGACAGGTTTCTGCCTAATATGTTTATCATATACCACCATCAGCTCTGCGAAATACGAAAAGTAGTTTTTCAAAGGAACGCTTGTCAATAAAATTCCTATTTGGATATCTTAGCATAAACCCTTCAGGCCAACAAGCAATTGTCCTCACAAAATAAAATCACTAGTAACATATCCATTCCTTCCGCCAGCAGATACTAATTCATTTTCCTTGATAAAATAATAAATGCATACTTATTAACCTTACTGTAGGTAAATTAAACAAAAATAACCTGTTATAAATTTAAAAAAGTCCATAAACTAATTTCGATTTTGAAAATAGCTACTAACTGTCACTAGAAACTTGCCATGGCGACACCAGCCATCTTGATTACAATTTTATTGAAAAATCGGTTTTTATTCAAAATCTGGGCCAGATAGGTATAGGAAACCCTAATATAGTTTGAAAGAGCATTTAAATCTGCTTCAACATAAAAAATACATATAGTGATGCATTTGAAATAACAAAGGTTTTATGTCAAATAAATATTTAAAATAGACCACCAATTTTTGATATCCCTGCATACATTTAAGAAAGCAATCAAATTTTTTAGTAAAGTTTATTTCTCTGGCTTGAAAGCCAGCGCGAGAATTAATTCTGAAAAGTAATGTACAAGCTGTTGACAAACTTTTTTTTTATAGCAGCTTTTAAACATATTAAGCCAAATTAATTAATAATATATTTTTTTAAACCAAAGCTTTTAAATATATTAAACCAATATTAATTAATAATACATTAACCAAAATTAAATCAAATAGTTTATATATAATTTTCCTGAGAATTGTTTTTCAGTGTAATAATACAATTGCATTGATCTGAGAAAAATGAAAACCTAAACGAGTCATTTTCTTTATGTAGTTCCTTAAAGCAGTTAGTTTAGTTCAGACTATCGGAAATTCTGTGAAAAGTGGTTAAAAAATGCTGATTTTCGGTTTATTTTTTTCAATTTTGACATGGAACAACGTAAATTGCCAGGTATTTTATATAATTAATCAATTATTACCAATTAAATTTAAGAAAAAAATATTCACAAACGCAGTGTACAATATGATTAATCATATAGGTTTGTATTATTTCATATTTTTTTCTGTGCATTTTCAATTGAAATTATCTGGATAATTATGAAGTTTTTTTTGTTGATGATTCCTCCAATATGAGCATTAAATGTGACAAACGTAAATGAACCTTTATGTAATCAAAATCAATATTTTTTATAAAATCAATGCAGATGTAAAACAGTAGAATAAGTTAGTGTTAAGTCAAATTACCATAAAAATAATTTAAGTGCAAAAAAGTGTCTTCAGGGTGTATTTTAAGAAAAATCAAAAGTGGTTTTTCTGCAAATAAAAAAAAATGTTATACTACGAATTGGTACACCACAAGTTCAAATTTATACAATTTTTCAACATTTAAAAAAATATTTTTGTATTTTGTGACCTGAATATGTAATCAATTCAAGCAGTTTTAAAAATGTCTGTTTATCAGATTAGGTAGATTTGTTATGACTTTGTATAAATAAATATATATTTTTAGTTCATTAACTTTAAATAAAATAATAAATATTTCCTTTAAATATAATTTTTAATCTCTCCAAAAAATCCTCTTTGGGTATTTCGCCACTGCAAGAAAATCTACAAAATAAAATAGTTATTTTTCGTAAACACTTCTGCGTTAATCCCAAACGGAAACTACTTGTCAGAAGTTATGTTTAAAGTTAAACTTCAAAGTTAACAATTACTACCTGATAACAATTACTTAATAAGGTAAAACCAAAAAGCCCCAAATTTTCTATATGATTATTTTTAATTGAATAGTCAAATATTCTACGAGACCTCAGATTTTGTGCTGCTGGTAGGAACTTGCTGTTTGCTACCAGGTTATTATTGTATTAAATGACATGTTTATAAAATGATGGTTGTTGTCAATCAAGTTCAGTTTTAATATTATGTTTCTAATGTTATTGCTTAGGATACATCTACTAATTTAAGATTTAAATCATAAAAAGTATAAAATTAATACATAATACATTAACATGACACATCATTATTTGCTGTAAGGAAAAGTGTTAATATATTTGTGATAAATTATATTATTGCTAAATGAAATAAGAATTTTACAAGTAAAAGTCTAGGTCAAACCAATAGCTTAGTTTATTAAATAAATAATAGATTTTTATTTTTATCTATTTATTTTCTATATTGTATATTTTTTCAGAGTCCAATAGTTAAAATTTCTGACGGGTTGATACGAGGTGCAGTTGGTAAGACTGTAGGGAATGGTCAAATATTCTACGCATACAGAGGAATACCTTTTGCCAAACCCCCAATTGGAGACCTCAGATTTAGTGTAAGTCATTTAAAAAAAGCTTCAAAAAATAATTTTTCTATGAATATACATACCAAAAATTCTATTACCCACATTAATTAAAGCAACTAAACTTCAGAGCCTCATTCAGAACCTCGAAATTACTGCAATAAATTAGTGGTTTCAATTAGTGTAAAAGTTTGTTTCTCTAATTTCAACGTAAGCATTCAGGACATCAAAATTAGTAGAAGTAATTTTGAATTAAAGCTTCATTCATTACCTCGCAATTAGTGGAATAAATTAGTGGTTTCAATTAGCGTAGAAGATTGTTTCTCTAATTTCAACGTAAGCATTCAGGATGTCAAAATTAGTAGAACTAATTTTGAATAAAAAGTTCATTCATAACCTCGCAATTAGTGGAATAAATTAGTGGTTTCAATTAGCGTAGAAGTTTGTTCCTTTAATTTCAATGTAAGCATTCATAACGTCAAAATTAGTGGTAGACATTTTCAATTAGTAGAACAAGTTATCAAACTTTTAAGTTTTCCACTAATTATACTTCAAGAAATGTCATTTTGTCCTTTGATTATCTTCCGTCAACAGAAATTGTCGTTAGAAATCAAAAGTTAATTGTTTTATAAGCTAAATATTAGACTTTCTTTATGGAAACAACTGACTAAAGCAAGCTGTTGCTAGGATATTCTATTAATTTTAATTGTGTTTTTTTTAAACATTGTAAATTATCGTAACTAAAAAGTATAAAGTTTAATTGAAACCATTAATTTATTCCACTAGTTGCGAGGTTCTGAATGAAGCTTAAATATTAGGCTTTCTCTATGGATACAACTGATTACGGCAAGTTGTTGCTAGGATATTCTATTAATTTGTATTTTTTATACATTGTGAATGATCGTAAACTCTTGAGTATAATTGATACCACTAATTTCGAGGTTCCAAATGAAGATTTACTAAGCTCCATAAGAAATGCATTTATTTACGGTATAAAGCATTTTTAAATAAGTATTAAAATATTGAATTCAGTAATCAAGATTTTTTTTCTTAATAAATAGTATAAATATTTGAAAACCAGATGTTTTAGGCTCCTGTTAAGAATGATCCATGGAAAGGCATCTTAAATGCTACTGAAGATAAGGCAAGTTGCGTCCAGCAAATGGATTTTTTACCATTGGCAGTTAAAGGGTCAGAAGACTGTTTATATCTGAATGTTTACACTAAAAATGTAAGTAATCACTATAAAATTCTATACTTCTATACTATAAAATTCTATACTGTCTATACTTCAAATTGATAAAAAGTAAACAAACAAATTGTACTATAGTTTACATAACTTAAGGTTGTGATGTTTAACAATGTCAGCAAAATATGCTTTTGGTTGGACTTATGTGTGTCCTAATTGATAAAAGATATAATACAGTTATTTATGTATCAAGATAATAAATGTAATAATAAGGTAAGGGTACTAATTACCAGGGACAATATAATTTTATAATTCCCGTTGTACATAGATAATTTGATTTCGTACTGAATTTAGTAGATTTTATCTTAGTACTGAATTTAGTATATTCTGTCTATTTATTATCTTTCGGTATATTTGTATTTACGCTGCTGGTAGGAACTTTCTGTTTGCTACCAGGTTATTATTGTATTAAATCATTATTAAATGACATTTATAAAATGACGGTTTTTGTCAATCAAGTTCAGTTTTTTGTGAAAAAGGCCTTTTGCACGAAGCCGGCACACGTTCGAGTACACGTACGAGTTTCCATTGAAATGGAAAAAATATTAAAAAAACTGAAGAAGCACAACAAGCGTTACTTCCACTTAAAAGTATATCCATTTACCAAAAGGAATATAAAAAATACTTTCAGTGACTGGTCAGAAAAATATTGTAGCAGGAGATATTGATGAAACTGTTCTCTTGTAAAGTGTTATAAATATGTAACATTAATGATGTAAATGAATTATTAGAGTAGTTAGGATGAGTGCCCATTTTCATTTTATATTATTACTCAAATTCTCTATTGTATTTCATAGTTGTTACATATAAAAGTAGAGGGGATTATGGCATCTTAATTCCCGTTAATAATGTCCCAAGGGAGTTATGACCCTACTTATGGATAGCACGTCTACGACGATATGAGCTTATATTAATTCAGTAAAAAATAAATATAATTTTGGTTCACCCATGTATTTTCACTTATATTTTACGCACTTACACTCTGTACAATATCTAATATAAATTTTTGATATAAATTTTGTTTTCAGATAGCTGGAAATTACCCAGTTATGGTCTGGATATATGGCGGTGGTTTCTCCATAGGCAGCGCTGATTACGAGTACTACGCTCCAGATTTCCTACTGGAACAAGACGTAGTGTTCGTCTCCATGAACTACAGACTGGGAGTGTTCGGTTTTCTGAGCACTGAAGACTTGGAGTGTCCCGGAAATTGGGGGATCAAGGACCAAGTGATGGCACTAAAATGGATTAAAGAGAATATTAGGGCATTTGGTGGGGATCCAGAGCAAGTGACTATATTTGGACAGAGTGCTGGGTCCGTTTCTGTAGGGTATTTGCTTCAGAGTCATCAAACTAAACGTAAGTCTTCAAAAAAATATTGGTAGGTTTTTATAACAGTTTAAAAGTATACGGCTATTTTTTATTCACAAGGTTTTTTTACAAATTAGATAATATAGCTTTATTTTTATGTTTAAACCCAATGTTAGTATATTCTGATGTGTTTAATGAAAAACGCATTAACTACAATTCAGATTGAGTGTATCATTGAATTTTTTTTTCAAGAATACATATTTTAGAAGATGTTTAAAACATTTAATCACTAGTTGATTAAAAAAATTATACCATTAATTTTGCAAATTATATTTTATCCTCCCATAGTATATGTCTATTTAATTTTTTGATTATTAAACGAGCACTTTGTTTACTCACTTGTTACGTCGAACTGCTTGAATCCATTTTTGCTTTTGATCAAATCGGTGTGAGAAACTATGAAGCTATAAAATGTTATTTCAGGAGAGTTGAATATCGGGGAAAGTTGAGTTATTGAATGTTATTGCACCCAATAACGCCTTAATTACGCTCTCCTTTACGCGTTAACATTTTTTAACAATTTTATTAACATTTGAAATTGTCACAACACGACGCGACGCCTAGGTCGGATTCTTTTTCACTTATTTTTTACTACTTGAAACAGACGCAAACCTCGTACCTCAGTGTTTTCTAGTCTCAATAACTGCACTAGCAAACAATTAAAATACTTAAATATTATAACCACGATTTCAATATTATTTTAATGCGATCAACATGACGACGGCATGAAAGAAGTACTGAAAATTTTTGATTTTTGCCGTTGAAGCGCTGCGGTCGGAATATGTTGAAATCAACTGAAATGCACCAAGCCTATAGATCTGAAAAGATCGCAATGGAATAGGCCGACAGCCATCTCAAAGAATGTAATCTAATTTATGTCCAAGGAATATTGGGACACCCTATACGTATTTTCTCAATTCCGTCATTTTAACAAGTCAATTTTAAACTAGTTCAAAGTTGAAAAGTCAAACAGCCCGTAACTCTCCCCCACACGTAAACTATATTCCCTCAACTAAACTAAATCTATTCCGTTTCCAGATTTGTTCCACCGGGCCATCATGCAGAGCGGATCGAGTTTATGCATCTGGGGACTGACCACGGCACCCCGCCAGATAGCCTTCGCCATCGGGTCGAGGCTGGGCATCAGCACGTCCAATTCGCGGGAGCTGCTCGCCAAGCTGAGACAAGTGGATTTCGCCACGCTCAAACTGGTGGAAAATCAAGTGGTCTATCTGGTTAGTACGGTAGAGTTGGTCTAGCCTAATTTGAATTGGGAGATGCGAAATTAGCGCTGGTATCGATCTCAAAATTAGACAAAAACGTCTAATTAAATTTAACTCCAAATTGAATCTCTGCAAATTTCTGACAAACGGATAAGCAGCCAAAGGAATGTGGACCAAAAAGAATCATTCTGTTAAGTTTAACATTAGAAAAGCGAAGTAGCCTCATATTATCTATAAATTTAATATATTTCTAGTTTATTCAAACATACATAATCATATACAGAGTGGTCAAAATTTGGGCTCACTAACAGGTAACTTTGCCCCACTTTAAGCCACCCCGTGTTCCTTACCGTTTCCTAAATCCTAAGGGTCAGAGTCGAATTTTAAACACCCGTATATACTAAATATTTTAACGTATAGTTCTTGTTATTCGATATACAGGGTGGTCCGAACTGTATTCCGGAAACATCGGCATCATATTGTGCACATAAAAATAAGTAAAAAAGTTCGGATAAATGTATATCCTAGAATGCTTGGCTGCGGAGATACAGGGTGTAGAAGTTTCATTTTTATTACCATTTTTTCCAAATAATTTCTGAACTAACGTCACTATTTGCATGAAAATTGGTGTCTGGGAGTTTTTTAACATGAGAAATTTGATTTTGATATCAATACACTCATGATATCAATAGACTCATATTGTGTTTTAACTGTTTTGAAGATTAATAACTTTTCGTCCGTACTTGTATAAAACTACCGAGTAAAAAACTATACATTTCCGTGACTTTTGACGTAATTAATATCTCTTGGGTAACAATCGCTAGGAGCAACCGTTCTCAAGATATTTAGAATGGAAATAGTCAATACATGTTATTATTGACAAAAAAATAAACACGTTGAGTAGATTTTTATTTGACTGAAATAATAAATTTGGGATTTTTTTTAAATCAATCATAAACAGTTTATGTTGAACTTTTGGCACAAAAACATTTTAAATTTATGATTTCAGTCTAATAACTATTTATAGTCAACATGTTTAATTTGTCAATGATGACAGGTATTAATGATTTCGATTCCAAATATCTCGAAAACCATTACATGTAGCGATTTTTACAAAGAAACCTTTTTTATGTAAAAAAAAGTTGTAAATGTATATTTTTTACTCAGTAGTTTTATACAGGTACGGACAAACAGTTATTACGCTACAAACCAGTTAAAAAAATATGTAGGTGGCGCCCTCTACAAGTAGGAGTCACATTGACATCAAAATCAAATAATGTCTCATGTCAAAAAACTTCCAGACATCAATTTTCATCCAAATAATGACGTTATTTCATAAATTATTTGAAAAAAATCGTAATAAAAATGAAACTTCTACACCCTGTATCTCCGAAACTAAGCATTTTGGGATATACATTTATACGAACTTTTTTACTTATTTTTATCTGCAATACGCTGTCCAAGTTCCCGGAATACAATTCGGACCACCCTGTATATTTATTTAATGAACTGATTTCCTTTATTCTGCCTATTATAGGAGGTAAATATTATAATACTAGAAGATTTTCTCAAAAAAGCAGTTTTCAAATGTAATTTTTAGATATGTATTAATATTTTTACAGGTACACTGTATATTATCAAATAATTAAGAAAATTTAAGTGAAGTAAGTCTTCCTCTAAAAGAAAGATAACAAAATTCCATTAAAAATGCATTAAAGCTGAATTTTTTTAATTATATTCTGCTCTGAAAATATTATTTTTAATACAAAATTGAAAATGCTTCAAAGTTGATTAAACTTAGGTACCTATATAACAGCATTATACACTGACAAACAAAATTATTGCATATTTTATGTTAGGTAATTGATTTTATTTTATTTTGCTATATCCGTTTTACGTATATTATAGCAAAATAAATTACAAACTGAAGGATTTTTTTCATATTTTGTTATTACATAACTTAATAACAAATTACCATAACACTTTGCATATTTTGTGGACTTATTTTTAGGCTATCGCATTAGACAATCTTCTGAATGGTATGCCAATTGGTCCTGTCAGAGAACCAGAACACGAAGGAGCAGTATTCACAAGCAGAAGCCATGAAGATTTAAAAAATGGCCATTTTCACAAAGTTCCTGTAATAGTCGGACTAAACTCCAATGAAGCCAAATCTTTCTTAGGACTCGCTATAGGTAAATTTAAATTAAAGCTTTAGAACCTCAAAATTAGTGGATTCAATTAGCGTTCCTCTAATTTCAATGTAAACATCTAGAACGTCGAAATTAGTGATAGTAATTTTCAATTAGTAGAAAAAGTTAACAAACCTTTAACTTTTTCCCCTAATTATGCTTCAAAATTTGCGAGTAATATCCTTTTGGCCTTTGATTATCATTCATCAAGGGAAATGGTGGTTATAAATAAAAAGTTTGTTGTTTTGTAAGCTAATTATTAGAATTATTGTATGGATACAACTGACTACCACAAGTACTGCAAGCTGTTGCTAGAATATTCTATTAATTTTAATGATATTTTTAGACATTATCTATGATCGTAAACTCTCAAGTATAAAGTATAATTGAAACCACCAATTTATTCCACTAATTTTGAAGTTCTCAATGAAGCTTTACGTTTTACGAATTAATAATAATTAAAAGAATATTTCGTCATGTTAACTTTGTTTCTGTCAGTTGTTTTTTCATCTCACTTTAATATAGTGCTGTAGGAAAGGTATACAAACCGCGTTAAGCCACTCTCTATGTTTACTTATTTTTCTCTAAGAACAGGGATTAAATTGGTCAATAGGGAACTTATTTTAATAAGAAAAATGTGTAGTATGATAATTGTTTCGTTTTAAAAATCCTAAACAACCAAATTTTTTTTTCTTTTCTTTTTTTTTGAAAGCTTTTCTTAAAAAAATGGATCACAATGTATAGAGTATATTAAAACCTATATATCCATTTGAAATAAAAATGATTAAACTAAAAAATCCTGTTCATTTAGCTTGAAATATTAACCCTTATTATTTCCATGTTATGTATATATATATATATATATATATATATTTCTGTTAATTAATATAATGACGCGGTAGGTCTGATTTAATATTTTAGTCCGTTTTGAGTCATTTAGTTAATTAATATTACAATAAACAAAGGACATATTATATTTTATATCTACAACAAAAATAGAATATGTCAAGCATATAAAGAGCTCAAATAATCAACTGATGCTCATTTTTTTTAAAAGGAATACCTACAAAAATTGGAGCTTTTTTTACAAAATTTATCTATGTCATTTTCAAAATTATTTAAAAATCAAAAATTAGGTAACAAAAAATAATATAATAAAAAATGGGTATTGTACTTATACCACAGATTAGGTATCCTATAAGTATACAGATAAAAATCTTGTCTGTAATTCGTGGTACGAAAATTGTTTTTTATGACGATGTGCAAACGAGTCAAATTTCCTGTGCGCAAAAATAAACTCGCGTAAAATAACAATAAACAGCGTAATAGAGAGATATCGCTAAACCGAATAGCGTGCATGAACGTTAATAAGGCCAGGTGTTATTTCCTTTACGTGAGGTGGTATTAACTCTCTTCATTTATAGTTATCGGATCTGAAAGAATTCTGATCGCGTCGCGTCCGCTATTTAAACTTAACCTAACTTTGAATTTAAAACTTTGAAATTGTTTTGTTTACTAGGTATTTTAAAACTAAAGGACTAAAGTGCTTATTTCCAGTGCTTTATTGTTCAACGTCTGCCAATGGGTTTAGGGCAACAAGCAACAAATTCTCTTAGAAGGGCTAAGACGTCATCTGCTGTAAACCTAAGACTCTTTATAGGTTCTTTAGTATTGGAAGAGGTGGAATCCATATTTTGGGCCATATTTATTTAATTAAAACTAATCCCAGCTACTTAAATATCAAATTACCTAATAAAACTAAAGCAATAATTCAAAACAATTCAAACATAACCTAAAATAAACGATCTCGCCGGCCGGCTCCGGTTGTCAAATACCCGCACATGCCCATTTAAGCAATTTTTAAACGTTATCAGAGATTATTTAGAAAGAGCGCTTGGTGTAATTGATCCGCAAATTACGTCAGACGGTAACGTTATTAGCGGGTGTTGCGTTAAAAATTGACTCGCGCATATCGTAACCATGATAAGGTACGCGTAAGTACTGGATGACGCTATTCGGATTTCCGATATCTCTCTAATAACTGTGCCGGTCAGGCGCTGTGCACAATTTAGAGGCCATAAGTGGGCGTGCTATGTGCGCAAACTAGTAACCTAATTAGTGCCCGATTCCGAAAATTGGAACCACTAAAAACAATAAAGAAAAAACAAAGATTATAATCTGTATAATCTGTGCTTATACCCTAGGATAAGAAAAAACCGTGGAACAAAGTTGCCCTGGAAATGACGATCGATGATATTCCCAATATAGAAAATGACAGCGATCTTCATTTCATAGCCATCGCTAACACGGTTTTTTTTTCGATCATATTGCATTTATTGTTAAATCGCATGTAGCTCAAAATTGTGAATGTAATTTGTTTTTAGGTTTAATAAAACCTTTCTTCGGTAGGTTTGACTTGAATATAGCCCGCTTGGCACCGCACGATTTGACCAATAACGTAACCAAGAAGACATTTGCTGGCGGTGAGATCAAAGAGTTCTATTTCGGAGATCTGCCGTTACCAAGCACCGCATCTGAGGACCTTATTAAAGTAAGAATTTTTTAACAAAATATGCTGTTAATCCTTAAGGCGTCATGCGCTAATAATATCTGCAACACACAAGTATTTCTTTGTTATTTTGCTATTTTTTACATTTTTGAAATTTTGTACACGCTCCCCTCATAATTAATTAAAAAGGCATACATCATAATAACCATTTTTTCATTTTAGCATTTAATTGTCACAATACAATAGATCTCCACGACGCGCGACGCTCGTGTAGCCCGTTTAGCATATTGGGCTCTGCTTCTATTATTTGATTGATTTGTACATTTTTTTGTAGTTCGTCAGTAAAAATCAATTTAACAGACCTATTAGAGAAACTGTCCATTTGATGTCTCGCTTCACTGATGTTTATTATTATCAGTTTTCACACAGAGGATCTCTTGGGGATTTTGAATCAGATTTTGATGGTAAGTATTTAAATAGATTAACTGTTTTATTTTGTTTTTTTTAATAAAAGTAAATAAATATATAAATTATATATAGATTATAGAATGGATTATTTGTCAAGTACATATGTTTTAGGTGTGGGACATTATGAGGAAATAAATTATTTGTTTGCCAACAAGGCAAATGCACAAGGAAATGACAAGTACGTTAGAGAAAAAATAGTGGAATTGTGGACAAACTTTGCCAAATTTGGGTAAAAAAGATTTTTTTTTATATTTAACTAACAATTGAAAATGTAAAAAATCAAACATAGATTCGTCAAAAAATCAAACATAGATATTGGCTACATATTATCACCAGAAATTGTCCTACGCTCTAGTGCTGGGGATCAGAGATCAAATTAAAAAAATTGCTGATTTAGGAAAGTTCTTACCTAGAGAGGTATTTAATTCTTTACATCAGGACCATAAATTTAATACTTTTGTGATGTTTGAAAAAAAATGCATTTATGCATAGAAGACGTGTATTAAATTTTATGAATACAATATTATCGAAAAAAAGGCGTCAGAGATGGCTATTTAATGAAGATCGCTGTCATATCATATGCAAAACTTTATGGGAAATGCCACCGATCTTTATTTCTAAGCCAACTGGACGCTGTTTTTATTCGATCCATACGGTATATCGATAATAACATCAGAGTTGTTATGAAAAAAAAATTACACCACCCTGTATCTATGTAAAAGTTAAGATATTTACCACATACATTCATATGAAGTTTTTTCCTTAGAAGAGGTTCAAGAATTGTGCCCTCTTAAATATTAACATGTCATTAAGGAACACCCTGTATTTTCTAAAACTCGGCTTATCATTTTGTTCCATCTTCGTTTGTTAATTTCTAGTACGTTAAATTTCTAATCTTTTGTTGAACACTAGTTGTATTGAAAAATATTAATTTTTTACACTGAAAAATATCTCGATTTCACAAATAACAAAGTCAAACTTGTAAATTTTCAAGAAAAAGTAAAGCCAGAAATCTGTCGTCAATAAATTGGTATATTTTGGCAAAATTTTTCGATCAATAATTTATTTTAACATCAGTACAAATCACTAATCCTAAAATCCTCTAACACAGTATTGCCAATTATTTCGATCATTGTTGCCGCTCCGTTCAATTAAATACAGATAAAAAATTTCCTGTCTCCGATGCATATGTAATTTATTATTTTTTTTTTTTTTAATTCTGGGGTTAATTGCTATTCTAGTCAGAAACAAACAACAACAAATTCATATTTACGTGCCCCAACCTCCAATAAAACCCTTTTACTACATTTTCCACTCTACCACAACGTTACACGACATCTCACTTAGCTTTTAATTGCAGCGACCCCACTCCCCTGCCAGTGGCCAACCTCACCTGGCCGGCGAATTCTCCCCTAAGTTACGCCAATGAACTGGCTTATTATTTGGACGTGGGTGCCAGACTCAGTCTGGATGTTAATCCCGACCAGGAAGACTGGAAATTTTATCAAGGGATCTATCAGAAGTACGGCGATCCGCCTTTTTCTACCTACTGAAGTGTGCTAGGAAGTTGTATGAGTACATTTGTGGAGTGTTTTTGCGTTTATAGAATTTGATTTTAATAGATAAAAGTAAATAAAAGTGTACTGTTTATAATTTGAAGTGTTATTTTCCTTTTTTTCTGATGTTTAACCTGTAACAGCTAATGTGCGTTGGTTAGGTTGCAGTTATTTTGCTTCCCAAGTGGAAACCAACTCAAAGCGGACCCCAAAAACTTAGAAGACTCTATCTGTAACCTGGAATGGGAATCCTGCAACGGTATAAGAAATTCGAAAAATTTTCTCCGAACTTACGACCGAGAAATATCATAGATTTTCCTTGTTTTAGGTAAAGACAACCTTCGAATTTTCACGGGGTTTCTAACTGGACACTGTCTCCTCAATGAACACCTTAGTAGATTGAAGCTAAGAAACAACGGCGAATGGAGATTCTGTTAGGAAAATGTGGAAACACCAGAATACGTCACCACTGACTGCATCGTGACGACAACCATTCGTGCCATACACTTTGGTACGACTGATATCGAAGATGGAGAACTAATCTAAGTAAATCCGTCCCAGATTATGGCTTTTGTCAAATCCCTGAGACTGTATGATGAGTTATAACTCAAGAAAAGGGGAGACAATTCATCCATAAGGTCGCGGTGTCGCGCATAACAATTATATTTTAGAAAATTTAAACTATTACCTATCTGATACACAGTCATTGTGAATTTTTTGAGAATTGGATTGACATCCTCGTTTCAGTAGTATCGATTGGATACATTCTGGCCTTCTGCATACAACACACATCCATAATAAGCTTTTTTTCATTACCTTGGTGGATATTTATAGCAAGTTATTTTAGATAATTTTTTGTCATTATCGCACTGTGGATCGTATACAGGGTCGCTTTTATGTATGGAAACGGTGGATTATTAGGTAAAATATAGGAGGTACCGCAAAAAATTAAATACAAAAATTATAGGATTTTTAAATATCAATCAGCGAGTAATAAATTTAAGTATACAGGGTCGTTCATAAAGTCGTGGCACATCAAAGTTTCATTTTTTTAAATAGAACCCCCTGTATATTATTACATATTTCAATTCTTCCATCAATTCTAAGCAAAAAATCGAAATACACACAATGTACAGGGTTGGCCAAATTGGACGCTTTTAAAGGGAAACACCCTTTTCTATAGGAAATAGACTGAGACTAATATCGGTATCTGGAGCTCAATTTTTATCAAAAACATGATGGTGAAAATCGCACGTCGATATCTGTTACCGTTTCGGAGTTACAGGGTGATTTTCAAAAATGTGCATTTTTAAAAATTCGCCATAACTTTTTTGCTATGGAAAATTTTGTATTTTTGTGAAAACATTTAAAAAGCACCTTTTTACGTAGAATTTAATGGTTTAAGTATAATTTTTTTAAAATTAATAATTTAAGAATTATCAACAGAAAATTTGATTTTTTATATGGAACACCCTGTATATTTTTAATTTATTGAAAAGACTTTAAAATTACCTTTCAAAAAATATGACACACTTGGTATTTTGCTCGATTCCTCTTCGAGATATAGAGTATATAAAAATTCGCCCGCTTTAAATAAGTAGGCTTTGAACGGCACCGGCTGTAATGCAAAAAAATTCTAGCTGTGAGCATCAATTAAAGCGAAAATAATATTTGCTGAGAGATGCAGAATTTTATAACAATTTAAAATATATTTAACCAACATCAACACATTTAAACTATATCTAATAACAATAAATAGCAAACCAAAACATGGGATTTTGCTACAGGAAACTATTCTACAGGTGTTCGATATATCGACCATCTTCTGTTATGGACAGACGGGGCAGTTTTTGAACATTTCTCGCGGAATTCATTAACTTAGTGGAGGTGATAGATACCCTCCCATAACTGCTAAGTATTTCTAATTCTTGTCTAGATTATACGGAAGAATAAGGATCCTTTATTCTTCCGCAAGTATATCCATAGGATTAGATCCATGGGCACTAAGTCAGGCGGCCTCGACGGCCAACGGCTGGGATCTTGATTAGCTATTCAATTATTCTTGAAATTGGCTGCAAAAATTTGCTCATAACTTCACCTTGTCACCTTCATAACGTCGTCTTGCTGGAAAAATATGTTTTCGAGTTCCATTAAGGGCATATCATCAATAAGGGTTTCAAATCCTACTAGTTAAAAGTGGCGAACTTTTAAAAATTCTGTATTTCGAAAGGGATTATAACAAAATATTAAGTGTGCTAGATTTTTAGAAAGGTAATTTTAAATTATTTTCAGTTAATTAAAAATATAAAGGGTGTCCCAAATAAAAAATCAATTTTTCTTTTGATAACTCTTAAATTATTAATTTTAAAAAAATTATACTTAAACCGTTAAATTCTACGTAAAAAGGTGCTTTGGAAATGTTTTCATAGAAATACAAAATTTTCCATAGCCAAAAAGTTACAGCAACTTGTTAAAAATGCACATTTTTGAAAAACACCCCGTAACTCCGAAACGGTAACAGATATCGATATCCGGTTTTCACCATCATGTTTTTGATAAAAATTGAGCTCCAGATACCGATATTAGTTTTTGTCTATCTCCTATAGAAAAGGGTGTTTCCCTTTAAAAGCGTCGAATTTGAGACCCACCCTGTACCTCAAAGTAACCGTTTCCAAATTATTGACTTTTGGAAATATCACTTAAACAATTCGATTTTATTAATTTCAATATGTTTGGTTTCATTTAATGATGCCATTCTGCCGAAACTGTGATACTGTTGTAATGGGTTTTTAATGGGTTGGTCATAAAGTTGTGTCACATCAAACTTTATTTATTTTTTAAAATAAAACCCCCTCTATATTATTGCATATTTCAATTTTTCCTTCAGTTTTAAACAATAATCGTAATACAAACACAATGTACATTAATTGAAGAATTGAAATGTTAAACGAAAATTTTGTAATTTCCAGACTTGCTAAGTTCACATTTTATACATCTATAAATGCTAACTTGAGAACTAATGTCAAATATTATTAAGTATCACAGTTTCGGCAAAATAGCATCGTTAAATGAAACTGAACATATCGAAATTAATTAAATCAAATTGTTTAATTGATATTTTCAAAAGTCAATAACTCGGAAACGGTTGGTATGAGATACATTGTGTAATTTCGATTTTTGCTTAGAATTGAAGGAAGAACCGAAATATGCAATAATATACAGGGGGTTCCATTTAAAAAAATAAAACTTTGATGTGCCACGACTTTATGACCGACCCTGTATACTTAAATTTATTACCCGCTAATAGATATTTATAAACCCTATAACTTTTATATTTAACTTTTTGCGGTACCTCCTATATTTTACCTAATAATCGACCGTTTCCATACATAAAAGCGACCCTGTATAATATAATCGCACATTAGTTCATTAGAACATGAGTGCCACATACTTTCAAATGTTATACGCAATTCTAGTCAGCTTCAAATTGAATAGAAGCAGTCTAGCTCTAGTCTCGCGCTCGTCTCGTAAGGTCTGTACGCACCTTAATATATCCAAATAAAAAAATTATTTATATTTTTTTCTGATTGGCAAAAAGACAGTTTTCTTTTAAAAATGAATGGTCCTGGGGCAAGTTCTGTGGACTGTCATTTGTCTTAATTGAATTCAAGTAAAACGGACTCTATTCTCGTCCACACACAAGATTTTAATTAATACGTTTTTCTTGAACAGGTAACACAGCCAGAGGTAAAAACGTTACAGGCATTAAAAAAGGCTAGAAAAATGTAAAGTATAATTGAACGAAATTATTCAAATCTTTTATTTATATCATTCGACGGATAATAAAAACAAAATTGCGTATATTTAAAACGTGGATTAATAAAATATCGGGATATTATCTAAATACTTAGAAAAGTAAATATTTTGACTATAGTTAATTAAAATCGGCCCGACGCGTATGTAGGTTGATTCTATTTCTAGAATTTGTAAATATTTCAAGTCGGAGGCATCGCAATTTCATTAGTTTAGAAGACTTTTAAAAGAAAAATTCTTTTATCTCTTAAGTGAACCAAAAAGCTTTGCAGCTCAGCTTTCAAACAAAAGTAATAGCATTACACTTTTCTTCTCCTATGTGTTACATATTGTATTATACTGTGCTGTTCCGATTTTTTTTTTTACTTTCGTTGATTCGTTGAACAATTTTGATGAAATTTCAATTCAATCGAAGTTTAAAATAACGACTAGAATATCACATTCATTAATAATACAATATGATCGAAAAAAATGGCGTCAGCGATGGCTATGAAATGAAGATCGCTGTCATTATACAGGGTGTACCAGAAATAAGTGCAAGTATTTTAAGGAGTGAAAGAAATCTCTCTTTATCGTTTTTCAAATAAGTCGAAAATAACGGAGTTATTTTACTTTAAAAATTTCCAAAAGGCGTGTCACCTCATAGGCGTGTTTCTGAGGTTGAACTATGCCATAGTAAAAGGAAAAAAGTAGTTGCACTCTCCCAAATATTTTCTGCCAGTTTTTACAATATGTCGAATATCGGCAGATTGCAGAGCGTTTCAGTTGAGTTTTGAGTTCCGTTCGTCGACCTGCGAGGTTCGAGCATTGCGTCCCAGCACAGAGACGGATTGACAAAAAATGAGTGCCTTACTGTGTGCTGCTATTGGTTGTAGGTTGTAGTAATAATTCAAACAATTGTGATTTGATTTTTTTTGCGAGTCATTTATGATCATGTTTGTGTTCAGGTTAATTTTCTCATGACTGATTACTATTTAATAATTTGATATTATTTTCATTTAAACCTCAATTTTTTATCCATTTTACTTTTGACAACCATCCCTTGCGTGCTGATTAACGAACTGCACCATTATTGAACAAAAATTTGCTAGTACCAAAAGTACCGAAAAAAAACTGGAAATCCCGGTTCCTTAGAGGCATGGTATCGAAATTACCAGTTCCAAAAAACAGCTGCTGTTCCGGAAACGCTATAACGTACCATAACCGTGAATCGCCCTAAACAGGGTGAGTCTTAAATTTAAAATATTAAATAAGTGCAAATATTTTTAG